AATCACCATTCTTGTCAAATTTTTTCACTCAATTTTGACCTCCCCGGAAACGCATAGCAAAAATGAAACCCAATTTTGTGGTCCTTGTATGGACCCCTACAAAAAGCAACAAAGCGCGCCACGACCTGAAAGACCTCCCTTGTTAGTCCATTCAAAGCAAACTGTGAGTAGTGCACAAGACTACCACAGGTTCGACCGATGAATGGCTACATACTCGACATCTGCTGATCTAAAAGCCACAAGGGATACCAGGTACGGTAAACCGCAAACATAAACTACCCACAACAACTAACTCACTTCTACCTGTTCTTGTTGCAGATAGGCGACCTTCAACTGGTGTTTGCAGGGTTCCGACAAATCGGCGGTCGTTCCAAGAACTTTATGTTCAAAACGCACTTCGGACAAGCAACGAATTATTTCACCCCTGAATGAGTATATTGGTTGAACTACATTCTATAAGGGAGATTTTAAAAGCACCGCATGGAACCAACGGAGAAATGAGGCGTGATCTTTGATCAAAATCGAAAAAAAAAACAACAAGCGCCATAATTCTAAGATATCGTTCTGATAAATGTTCATCATTGCACCCTTGCATTCACTAATTGTTGGACCGCTGCGACTGCTAATTCAGCCCCTCGGGACAGTCTATCGAGGAAAACATACACCTAGGTAATCCTACACTTTCTGCTTTTGTCTCTACTGATACCTCTCTTACCTTATAACCTTTTAGCCATCCTTCCCCAACCACGCGTGCTGTTGGGAAGAGGAAGTTCGAGCCCATACTGTGTGCTGAACTATATTCGCTTCGTACTTTCGGAAAGCAGAGATGAAGGGTGACAAGAGCCACAAAGAAGGCTGGCATAGACGGATGTAATGGCAAGGAGCGAAATGTCACTGGGGATTACTCCCCATCAAGGGAAATTATAGCATACGGCCCCGGAAGAGAACTCCTCTCAACCATCTGCAATCGTCCAACTATCATCGGATAGCGCTGACTGCGAAATCGCTCGAGTCGCGAATTTTGAGGGTTGCGTAACTAATGGGACATAAAGGGCACTCTAACAGTGCTATAAGGGCATGATTCCATACTCAGTCATCCAGAACCAAATGCTCTATTTAGATAAATGGTGCATAAGGCCGCGTTCATAGCTTGCGACCATGAAGAAATGCAGAAATGGAGAATGCGGAATCTGTGGAAATGAATCTATATACATATCGATTTGAAGAAATGCAGAAATGCCGAAACTGCAGAAGTGCGGAATCTGCAGAAATGACGAAAAGCAACCGATACGTATCGATTTTCCGCACTTTCTGCATTTCTGCACTTTTTGGCATTCTGCATTTCTTCAAATCGATATGTATACAATGCTTTTCGTCATTTCCGCAGATTCCGCATTTCTTCATTTCTTCATGGTCTATGAACGCGGCCTAAGGCAGCGTTCAAACTTGTAGCGCTACGTCGCGCTACAGCTGTACCAAACTCCAGCTTCCCTTTTATGTTTTTCTTTCTGAATTCAACCCTTTCTCTCTTCCTCATCTTTATCTGCAATTCAATCCCTTTCTCTTTTGTTTTTCATGTTTATGATCCTGAGCTCATTTTTTTCTTTAACACTGAATTTTGATGTAGTTTTGATAAAAAACACTGTGATGATTAATTTTATATATCGTTGTCGACTTTAATTATCCATACGAGAGGAGTTGCTAATTGATGCTTTTGATGTCTGTGCAGAGGCGTGCGATGTTGCATCCCTGACTGCGAAATTGCTTCAATCAAATTCTAATGCCCTCATATTCAAAAATGCCATGTCAATAATTCAGCTGTTAAAAGCCATGGAGAAACAAAGAAAGATAAGAAAGTGAATCAGTAGAGAATAAAACATAAAGGGAACTCTGTCGAGTTTGCGCTACAGCTGCTAGCGCTTAGAGCCTGTTAGCGCGACGTGCGCTACAAGTCTGGAAAACCGCTGCACCTGACCAGCGTTCTTGACTTTCGTAATTGCGGCGACGCACTAACTCTACAAGAATGGCGCTCCAATGTTGTAGACGAAAAGACGTCAGTACGTGGTATTGGCGCGCGGACGTTAGTGTCTTGAGAATAGTTACGATAGCAGGAGGGTAGGAGCTGCCTTTACACCCCTATTCGACCCACGTCAATGCGAAGTCTGAACGCTGCCGAGCATGTTTGTTAATATGGATATCACACCACTCACTTGTCGTTGCCATGATCGGGGCAGTGCTTGTCGATATCGGCAGAGCAAGCTTTTTCGAACTTATAAGAGAAGTGATAATCTCGGAGAGAGATCAATTCGAAGTGGTTTACATACGAACGACATTTCGACGTCATTTCCGGTTGGTCCTAAATTTTCTTTTGTAAACTCTCCGACATTAAGTCAAAATGAGCCATGAATTGATTACATCTTTCGAACACGTTCTCAACAAAACTACATACCTTGTTGTTAAGAAGGCACTCCATAACATCACCATGATCAATTTCTTCATTTGCGAATTGCTGAAAATATATTTAGGATTCGATATAGCGTCAGAATACTGAACTTCATAGTGGTAATTTTTGAGCTTGACTGACCTCACAGTGAGCTTTGATGACAGGTTTACAAGCTTTTGTTAAGGCTCTATTCAATTTTGTGTCTTTCGACTCCATTTCCGTGAATCGTGTTATTTCTTTGTGACAGATGGGATGTCGCTTGATGAACTCTTTCTTCTCGAAGTTGTCTTGAAGGCAGGTCATCTCCTGAAACTTCCGAATGTTGACGGATATTCAAACGAAGTGAAAAATCGTTTCTGAAACAAGGGCTCAAGAAGACTATAAAATGGCTATGCACATTACGTGAAATAGGGCGATTTGCTCACAACGCACCGTCCGAAATTGCTAGGTGGGTGGTGAAACGACGACATGAACGCCACTAAAGAGGTCATTGGTGCGTCACTCATTTTCCCACATAGTGAGAATGGTGAGGGACGGCCTTAATGACGTCACTTCCCGACTTCTCAACCGAAATCCCCGAACTGGTAGGATAAATGGGAATTACGAAGACGTATAGCAAGTTTCTGGAACCGCACTACCCCCTCCCCCATGGCGAGATTTCCTTCTCAAAATATAATGAATGCATTACAGACATGGTAAACAATAGTAATGCAATAGTAAGTCAAATAAAGAAAGCCCATACAATGATACTCACCTCCATTGGCTTCACATTGTTAGAACAGTACTCCGACAACGCTTCTCGGCAGGCGTCTTCGATGTCAGGAATGAGATTCACGCGGACTGCGCGTGTGTGCAGGACTCTTCTGACCTCCACACCGCACTTCTTCGACAGCTGTAGAAAACAATGAGTATTTCATAATAACCACTGCACGTTGTAGGCTGGGGATGTCCAGCCAGAGGATCGTACATGGTCGCTGCGCTAAAGGGGAGCAAGGGGGAAGGGGTATCCAATTTGGAGAACTTCCTCAGGTTGTCGACCGTTCTAGCTTTTTCCTGGCTCATGTGCGCTATCCTCGCCCCCACCCCGGCTCTTCGGCGGTTTTTGGTGAAAGCGGAAAATCTGAAAAACTAACGGGAAAAGTGGTTGGAAGTTGGAAGGACTGTAGGGAGAAAATTCCGCTTCATCCATACAGAATGATGATTGGTAGGATGGAGAACGGGGAAAAAAAGGTGGGGGGAGGTTGGCGGAGGTGGTGTAGCAGAAAAGGAAGGGGCGATGGAGGAATTCGGCATTTCTTGCAAAAAAATTTCACTCCTTTCGCGAGAACGTGCCCCGATCCTGATGCAACAGCTTGGACACCATTAGTCATTACTGCTGGCTAGCCCTGCTGGCCAAAAGAGGAAGCCATAGAGCTATCAACAACGCTTGCGAATATGACAAGTTATTAATCAGCGCAGGACACGTAAGCTCATAGACCCATAGAATAAAAGCGAGGTACTACATTCTGAAAGTTGGATTTAGGGCCCTATTAGGCTAATATAACGGGAAAGAGTGCTGCAAAAACTCGTGGTTCTCTTTATAGGCCCTGAGGTGGTAACAATCTAAAAAAATACAGAAAAAGCGGTTGATTCTCACCGGGTTTTCTTCATCATATGCGGATCTGTACAAACATGCGAGAACTGATGGACCTGGATCTGGTCCAGTGCCCGCCATATGCCAATTCGATGGTGCATGACATCTGCAACGAAAGGTTAGGGTTTTCGTCAATCAGAAATTAAACAATAGCGAACAAGGTGAAAGGCACGGTCCGCGTTCATTCGATGCGCCTTATTGAAACATGACAGTCCTATCTGCAAGTGGGAGGACGTACTACTTCCGCAGCTCAAAGGCACGTGAAGAAAGCGCGGCCCGCTGGCGACGAGGTCATGGTCCCTTCCACTAGCCACGGCAGCGCCCAACTTTTATTTCTAACAAATACCTTGTGTTTCTAACAAATACCTTGTGCGCAGCTGTTGTGCTTCTTACTCCCTCCATTTCGAAGGCGAGATAAGTTAAAGACAGATCCCGCGCTCAAGTAGTACATGGTCGTCCTTTCTTGGGCAGGTAGTTCAGCCCCCAAGCTAGATACTGCTCACTCTCGCGACTCCTCAGCGAGCGAGAAGCGAGCTAGAACCGCTCAAGTTCTAGTTCTAACGCCTGCTCAGTTGGGCCGCCTCACTAGCTAGCTGCCCTCTGACGGAGAGCCGCTTAGTTGTTCCTTGCTGGGACGGCAATCATTAATCGGAACCATGTATTTTTTGCTGACTGCGCTCGTGCTCGTAAATAATTCTGCTCTCCTTCATCACATTTTATTCATTGGGAGCACGTACAGTCAACAGCAACCCATCTCGTGTAAGGTAGAACGCGTAAAAATCACGAATAATGCAATTTCTGTGGTGCAAAAGCTCGACGCACTTCACTACATTAAAACATGCTCGCTCCCCCCGACCGTAACCATAACAGTTCGGACGCCGGCTTTTGAAATGTTTTCTTTTCAAGAGTTTTTCCTCTACTGCTGTTTTTGTTTTTTTTTTTCTTCGCATATCGCTTCTATATGATATTCGCTACTAGGAGATGTGACAAAGTGATTTGTGAGCCAGGGCTTGCACAGAGACCGCAGGGAGGTGTGACTGTCAGGGCGCGATTTTGTTTATGGTGTTCTTGAGGGCTCTTGTTTCTTTTTTCCTTCATTGAGGAATTACTTATCAGCTACTGTTTCATAATTGATCAGCAATTATCCTTGACACTTTTATCGCGGGAGCTGTCCTTTGGAACAAGGGAGAAAGATCTCGGGACCAGTTCAGCATAGGGTTTTATGTGGGGAATTTCGGGTGGGTTTTTTTCGATTTTTTTTCTTCACTTCCGTGCTATATACCGTCCTAGCTTGAGCACTTGAACCGCTCAGCCCACCACTTTTGAACCTCGGTGTCCTTTATTGCCATAACTGACCGCTCATAACACGAGATAGTCTATTTCAAGTTGTTTTGAGGTACTTCTATTGCCAAACCAGCTTTTAAAAGGAAATAATAAGAAAATCCAGGGTCATACCTCCTACAGCTTCATCGTGGCAAGCTTCGTAAAGTTGAGGATCTAACGTCCAATCTCGTGCCATGAAGTATTGGACCTCTAGCAGCCTTTGTTCACACATCATAGTCATATCCGAACTGTCGACATGCCTCATTAAACAGTTGAGCGTGTCAGCCTCGGATCCGGTTTCACGTGCACATGCTCCTTAAAATTCACTATCGATTCTGGAAATAAAGCTACCAATATTGCTTTTGAAATAGGAAACTCTTAGCTTGGCACAGATGTGATGTGTGTGGAGTGAACAAGGTACATATGACCCGACTTTGGTACATATGATCTTAGGGTCCCCTACTTTCCGAGTACAGGTCACCGCATCCACTAGCATAAATGCATGAACGCCTGAGGACGCGGCCATACACAAGCAGGGTTTCAGTGGGCTAGAGAGACAAGTGGAGACTCATCTTCCGTGGATCTTGGTCCTCGCCTCCTCGCCATATGCGAGGTGAATAGTCCATAGCTGCAGCAGTGTGCCACTCATTCCGCTCAAAAGTGCACGTGGACGGGGCTGGAGGGCACTGATGCCCAGATGCGGTCCCCTTAGTCCGTCCGCGCTGCCATAGGCCAGCCACGCCGAGCCATAGCCATACTCGCTACTCGTCTGCGCTCTCTCACGTTTAGTTATTCTCCACCTCTGACTGCGCGCTCGTGTGCTACCTTGGTGTCACCGCTAGTGCTGCAACTTGAGGACATCGCGGTAGGAGTCCGGAACGGCTTCCTGTTGTCACTGTTCTTCACTCTCACTCCCATACCTAACGCGGCCAACCTGCCCAGACGTTAAGACACAATTGATCACCGAATCTAGAGAGCGGCTGGTCTACGCGCGATGAACAAGCCCAAAAAATTGAGTAAATCCGGTGACTACACTCAAATAAAAGAATCGGATCTCTACATGGGTGTGAAGGAGGCTACAAGCCTCACCAACGACGTATAATTTCACAGGAAAAGGACTTACATTAGTGAAAAAGCAAAATGTCCCTGTTGAGCTGAACAGCGCCCAGAAGCAATTACCTCCACCAAGCGGGTACCCCCTCGTCGGTTTTATTAACCGCAGAACAATAGAAAAGTTTGAAAAAAATTGAAGCAATTTGAAAAAAAATTAAATTGCAACTAACCATCGATAAGCGATCTGCACGACCCATACAAAACCTTATCAACTTTGTAGTTCGATCCAATATCGGCAACCTACAGCAAAAACACATTAGAGCACAGAATGCTTCACTGACTCGAATTATCTCACCTTGACAACGTCCTTTAGAGCCTGCATACACTGAGGTCCAACTTGCTTAGTCTTGTCGGTAGCCTTACAAATGAATTAATTGAATATGAGACTTTGTATAATTCAACAATAAAACTATAAAAATGCCGCAAGTAAGTCTCGTTAACTCACAGATGCATGCTCCATCAAGCAATGCAAAGTCAGTCCTTTTGGCTCAATATCACCTCTTGGGCTACACCACTTGTCGATTTCCTTTAATAAACAATTGAAGCGGAAAGCACAACTATATAACAAGGATACGGTAGCAATCACAAATAACGTAATTACGCCATGATCAGCAAAATAGCACAAAGGGAAGGAAGGAGGAACATTACATA